CTAGCCCTAAACTTGTGAAATTAAACGGTCAAAAATATACAAAAGGATTTCCTTTTGAAATGGACAAGATGGAGCTGGGGATATAGCTCAGCGGCACAGTGCCTGCCTGGAAAGTGCAAGGTTGTGCATTCAATTCCTGGTACCAAAACAAAAACAAAAACAAAAAAAAAAAACTGAACTGGACAAGTTGAGGCTAAAACACAAAAGAAAAAACAAATTACTAAGAATAGTCAGAACATTTCCTTTTGTTTTGGCAGCACTGGGGATTGAACCCAGGGGCTACACTGAGCTACATCCCCAACCCCTTTTATTTTATTTTTAAATTTTGAAACAGGGTCTTCTCGATAAGTTGCCCGGACTGGGCTGGAACTTTCAATCCCCCTGCCTCAGCCTCCAGTGTGTTAGAATTACAGGCATGTGCTACTGCACCAGGCTAAAAACATTTCTTAAATAGGACAGGCCTGACCTTGCCTGCAGCGCATGACGTAGTGCAGTGGCCCTGAACATGTATTCTCATGACCTAATGTGCCTTCTATTTTGCAGCAGCTAGAACACGCTACTGTCTCCACTTCCCAGACTCCTCTGCAGCTGGAGACTGATGGTGGAGCTAGATTTCCCAGCTGGGCCATGGCAGTCTCTCCTTTGTCCAGACTGTGTCAGGTAGCTCAAGCCCTCTCTGTGACGAGGCCAACCATGGGCTCTGTCTTTGTTCTGTTCAGTCCCATTTCAGCAAGAATCCTCTCATGGCAGTTTTAGGAAATTCTCATCCTTGGTATCTGATCACTTTCAGGCCTGATCAAATTCCTCTGAAAAGGAAAAACTGTTCTTTTTACAACTTTGTTCTTTTTGAAAACTGCCTAGCTCTATAACTGCATCATGGCTCTATAATTACTTTCTTGACCCCCTGCAACCATGAGAGCATAACCAAACACGCAGGATGTCTGACTGTAACAAGCTCCACGATCATTAATCTAGCCTTGTAACCGATGATCTCACCTGCTAGTAATCAGAGAACTGCCCGGCTGTTCTGTTTCGCCTTACACATCATCTAGAATGCTAGCCCACAAGCACTTGGCTGCTGGCTTTGTTGTGGGAAGTGATCCCAGCCAGGATCACCAGTGTAGAATAAAGTTGTTCACTGCCTCATGACTTTCCCAGGTATCACTCCTTTCCTGGACTCCACACCTCCACTTACCTTCCCCTGCATTCCCCCAATCACATCAGCTGCACACAGCAAGAAACCTGCTGAATGCATCCTGCAACCCCTAGCCTTCGAGTTTCCCTCTTGGTCATTTCTACCCACTGAACCCTATGACCCCTGCTCCTTGGCTACAAATAAATCTCCCCCCATCCTGGCTGGGCTGGGAGGTCCCAGTCTCTCCCCACGGCAAAGCCCGCCCGGCGGTCCCTCTGGAGCAACCTGCACATCTGTAACAAGCGTCAGACTCATCTTCTCTAAGACATAGTGCACCAAGAAAGCAACTGTGGCAAATGTACCCTGTTCATGAGCACATTCTACAAAGCTCAAACTCAGGAAAAGTATGCAACAGATCAGTTAGATATGCAAATTTATAAGGAAAAGGGAGGACAACTCAGAAAGTAGCCCTCTTTGAGTGGAGGAAGCAATCAGAAAGAGGTGAACAGGATTCTTTGAAAATTATGGTAAAATTCAGTTTCTTAAGCCACTGGCAGGCAGCAACAAGAAAAACTAAAATAATAAAGACAAAAAGTCGAGAGTGATAGCACATGCCTGTAATCCCAGCATTTGGGAGGCTGAAGCAGGAGGTTTACTGTAAGTCTGAGGCTAGCATGGGCTACATAGTGAGCTCTAGGCCAGTCTGAACTCCATAGTGAGACCCTGTCTCAAAAAAAAAAAAAAAAAAAAAGAACCAAACAAAACATTAAACCCACTGGCAGGTACACAAGTACTTCAGTACCAACTTTCTGGTGTATTTTATACACACTGTTCTGTACCTACTCAATATTTAGTAAGACATGATTCTACAAAGAATGAGGGGCAACTCACATTTAGGACCCCTCCTGCCTCTCAGGAGTATTTCTATTCCCCATTCCTTTTGTCCAATAAAATTTTCTACTCTTAGCCAGGCATGGTGGAACATGCCTGTAATCCCAGCACTCGGGAGGATGAGGCAGGAGGATCATTCCAAGTTTGAGGCCAGCCTCAAAAACGTAAGCTCAAGGCCACCCTGAACTGCATAGTGAGACCCTGTCTCAAAAAGGCAAAAAAAAAGAGGAACTACAAATCACTGTTCATGAAAAAGATTGGTTTCACTGTACATGCAACTTTTCTAAAAGGTTTAACGTTTTCAAAAATAAAGATCTGGAGGAGAGGCCAGGCAAGGCAGCACTTGTCTGTAATTCCAGCACTCTGGGAGGCTGAAGCAGGAAGATCACATGTTCCAGACCAGCCAAGAGAAAGTTGGCACGACTCAACCTTAAAATAGAATAAAATTAAAAAGTTAATTTAAATCAAAATGACTGGTGGTATAACTCAGTCCAAAGGCCCTGGGTCCAATCTCAAGCACACCCTCCTCTATCCACACACATCTGAAGGAAAGAAAATTGATCTTCAAGTTAAATCTATGCTGATTTAATACAAACCATATTCTGATTTCAAAATATCAAAATGTGGCCAGGCAAGGTAGTGTGTACTGACAACCCCAGCACTCTAGGAAGCTGAGGCAGGAGGATCACAAGTTCAAACCCACCCTGGGCAATGCAGAGAGACCCTATTTCAAAATAAGGGAGGGCAGGATGGAGACAGCTCAGTAAAAGGGCCCTGGGTTCACTTCCTGGAACTATCCAAAAAAAAAAAAGTGTTCAAAGGAATTACAAACCATTCAATCTTTTCAAACACATGAAACATGACAGAAACTGCAAATGCACTGGAATTAATCCACACAACACTGCAAATTGCTGTTTCCAAATCCTAAGGGGCAGCAAGCAGCTGTGGGGGCAGCTACATTAAGCCCATGCCACAAGTCGCCCCAGATGGACCTCTGCAGTGTCAGCACGCGGGCAGGGCAAAACCCCAGCAGGGTCATTTACAGCTTCTTTTTCTAACCTCAGTTACCTCTCAGGAAAGGAATCCTTATTCCAGAAACCATGAAAGAGAATTTATTTTCAAATGTCAATCAAACATTTTATGTGCCGCTTATGTAGCATTTAAACTCAGGGGAAGAAAGGCGGGGAGATATTAATTTAACATGAATGAAATTCATCATCCTTTCTGGAAGAATTCCTAAGGATAATCGAGTTATTCGGAATAGAGAGAATAAGAAATGTACTGCAGAAGTCACGTGTCGGTCTGGCGTGATCCCAAACCTAGGATAACCTGGCCCAGGCGCCTCTCCTTGCGTGGACAGCAGTGAGGAAAGGAAGCCACAAAGCTGCCCTGACTTTGGTGACTTCACCACTGATGCCCCCCACCCAGGTAGCAAGCAGCACTCCCAGCTCAATCCTGGGACTCCTCTCCCCTCTCTCCCCTCTCTCCCCTCTCTTCCCTCTCTCCCTAACACAAATGCCACTTGTTAGGCTGACGTCCTCAGTTGTACCTTGCAGTCTAGACTTCTCCCTAGGCTCCTGACTCAAGTCCCATCTCTCCACTGAAGGGCATTCCCGCTTTTCCACAGCAACAGCTCTAAGCAAGGACAGGAGGACAGTGCACAGCACTGGGCCCCTCCCACTGCCAGCTCCCACGGAAACACCCACAACCCTTTGAGGAAGGTGGATACTAAGATTTTCTCTTTCAGACAGGAAAAACTAAGGCACAGAAAAGCTTAAGGTTAGCACATTTAAACCTGGCTGGGTCAGGATCCAAACTGACTTGAGCCTATTTGCCTAACAAGGACACTTATCTAAATCACCTAGGTAAACCGGACGTGGTGGCACACGCCTATAATCCCAGCACTCAGGAGGCTGAGGCAGGAGTATGGTTGTAAATTGAGACCAGCCTGGGCTATAAGCTGAGCTCCGGGCCAGCCTAAACGGCATAGGAGACCCTGTCTCAAAAAGACCAAAAATAAAAAATAAAATAAAATCACCGTGTAAGATGAAGTCTTAGCTGTAATCCCAGCACTCTGGGAGGCTGAGGCAGAAATATTTCAAGTTTGAGCCAAACCTGGGCAACTTGGCAACATAATGAGGTCCTATCTCACAAAAAATTTTAAAAGGCCAAGACTGAACTCAGTGCAAAGGCCTGGGTACAGAAAATCCCTAATATGAACTGAAAAAGGGGCTCGTTTTTTCCCCGCAGGCATGATGCTACCTCCTGATCAGCTCCGCTGATTCCCACGTCCCTCACCACCCTCGCTGGGGTGCTCGGGCCCGACCAGGCCTAGCCCAGGCTCAGCTCTGCGCCCCAGCCCTCTGAGGCATACACACCTCTGCCAGCCTTTCCTGCTCTAGAAATAAAGTTCTTGCTCCTCAGTCTTTTGGATGTTCCCAGAGTCTCTCAAACCCCATCTCCGCACTGAGACACACGCCCCCTTCCTTCCCTCAAGCCACGAAGAGGAACCCCGCCCTCCCTGGCGGGACACAGACCGTGAGGTGCAAAGTCCCGCTCACCAGACAGAGCAGCGCCCAGCCCGCTCCAGCGTGGGGAAAGCACCCGAATTCCAGCAGGGAGCGCCCCACCTACCCCAGGCTGAAAAAGGCAGACACGGGGAGCAGCACAGCCCTCCTCCCCAGCTGAGAGCAAAAGGCTCGGAAAAAGCCCAGGACAGGGTAATCATTTAAAGCGACAAGCTGGCGTTAGATGGGAGGAAAAGAGATCCCATTTAGACTCAACAGAGGGAGAACATGAGCAGCATGTAAATATTTGTTGATTTGATTTGTAACGATGTGAAGAAAAATAGTATCTGCTCAAAGATGCCCATGGATCAGTACCCGTGCTCTAATAGGAAGGGCAGCAGCCAGCCCTCCCGCCCTTCAAAGCCCCAGAACGTCTGCAGGTGTCTGCAAGTGTCGCCTGTACTTACTGGCATCGTCCAGGAACTCCAAGTTCCCTCCCAGCTCAGAACTGGAGAAGCGGTACTCATGTGGATCGGCCAGGGCGCTCAGCAAAATCAGCAGGACCACGGCATTGATGAGCTGCGGGAGAGCAAACACGCGTGAGCCCCGGGCGGCGGGGCACAGCCCAGCCTGACACCACCAGGCCCTGTGGCTAAGGGAGGCGGCAAAGGCGCCAGGCCCAGCCGAGGGCAGGAGCCCCACCGGCCCCCTCCCACCCACCCACACGGGGGGCACAGAGTGCCGGTTCCGCGCACAGGGCTGGAGCTGGGGCGCTGCACAAGTGTGCTCCTGCTGGCCAGGCCGCTGAAGGCCTGTGACCCAAGTTCCCCTGGGAGGTCTGACAGGCCCGAACCTCGGGCGTTTGAGAGCACGCAGGAACCGCAGTGAATGCAAAGCTCCCGGGCTTTCGCTCCCACAGCGCTCAGTGACACGAAGGACCTGGGAGGCCAGCTCTGCTGAGGATGCGGCCCTCCACTACTAAGAAAGCCCACCCACGGAAAATCATCTTCCCCAACACCTCTCTCTCGGCTCCTCCTTTTTCTGCTTCCTACCCTTAAAATCACAGTAACTATGCTGGATGCATCTGTAATCCCTCAGGAGGCTGGGGTAGGATGATCACTGCAGTTGGAGGCCAGCCTGGGCTACACAGTGAGCTTAAGGCACACCTGAACTACATATTTGTTATTATTAACAGCATGCAAGGAAACATTCAGAAACACAGGCTTATGTGAGGAAAAGGCTGGCTTAACTGCGGCTAGCTACAGGTAGGCTGAGATCGAAATTATAGTGGCAGAAGGTGCAGCAGGTTAAATTTATATAGGGTTGGAGGATGAAGTTATAATCCCAAGGAATCTGGATGGAATATGTGGGTCAAAGTTCCTAGAACATCAGCACAGGTATGCAGCTAATGCTGGACATTCTGGCACTGTTGGTCTGGGGAGATTGTATGTCCAGCCCCAAATTTCTTTACAGCCCCCTTTAGTGGTTTCCTGTTGTTTGTGGAGGGCAGCATGTTTATTGAGAAGGTCTCCCTCAGGTCAGGTTTTTTTTGGTTTTTTTTTGTTTGTTTCTTTTGGTTTTGGTTTTGGTTTTTCTCTGGTACCAGGAACCGAACTCACGACCTTGCGCTTGCCAGGCAGGCGCTTTGCCGCTGAGCTAAATCCCCAGCCCCCTCCCTCAGGTCAGGTTGACAATAGTGAGACCCTGTCTCAACAAAACAGCCAGGGATATAGCTCAGTGGCACAAGCGCCTGCCTGGCATGTGCAAGGTCCCTGAGTTCAAATTCCAGTATCAAAAAAAAGAAAAAAAGAAAAATCACAGTAACTCCATTAATAAAACTGGACACCACATGGGCACTATGCTAAGCCCTTTTCTCTGAGGCCCTGCAATAACCTACTGAAGTAGGTGCCGTGGGTCCCCTCAGTCCACAGGCAGAGACAGGGCTTGAGTCCAGGAATCCAGACTCCCAGACCTAACCTCTGCCAGTGATTCACCCCACAACCTGCTTCTCCTGCGCCTGCATCTCCCGCCCAGGCAGCAGGCCTGTCCTCCTCCTCCCAGCTGGCTGGCCCTGGAGAGCTTTGGCCTGGAGCCCCAAGCATCCTCGGACTAAGGCTGCTTCCTTTTCTACATTCAAAGTTTCCCTCTTTTCAAAATGGAAAAATACATATAAAACCTTCATACACATAAAGAAAACAATTTGTGCTACCAACATGAACTAAAGCACATCCTGCTACTATAAAATTGCACATGGAAACAGCAACTACTTACAGGGGCTCGGGTCATCTGGTGAGATGTCCACGCCAGGACTGATTTAAACTAGCGGCACTGCCAGGTGTGATGGCACACGCCTGTAATCCCAGCACTTGGGAGGCTGGGGCAGGAGGATCTTTGCAAATTCAAAACCAGCCTGGGCTACCATGTGAGCTCAAGGCCAGCCTGAACTGCTTAGCCAGACCCTGTCTCAAAAGGACATAGAAAAATAAAAAAATAAACTGGCAGCATTGAGCGCTTAGTGTTGGCAGCCTTGGGATTTTGGGGGTTCCCTCTTCTCTCTTCCGAACTGTCCACCCCAGTGTGCTGTCTTACACAGTGGAGCAGTGTGAGCGGCCCCTTGCAGAGTCCTCAGGACCATGAGCTGTAGCTACAGCTCTCTCAGGTGCCGAGGGTGCAGTGGGAAGCACACCGCTCTTCCAGCGCTGGTTCTCAGCTTTCGTTCTTGTTTCTCTGCAAAGATCCCAAACACTTCACAGCACACTTTAAAAAGCGCGGCTCGCAAAGTGCACTGGAAGAAACTGTTCAGAAGGCAAGTTCAGGAGAGCACGGGCCGGTGCGTGGGGCCCTGGAGGGCACCGAGGCGCTCCACGCAGTCGCTGCTCTTGGCATTTCACCCCCTCCACATTATTTCATTTGAAAGAGGCATATGACAGATCAGGTGAAATTTCATAGGAATACACAGAACATAGAAATACTTTGAAAAAAACAAACTTAGATAGAGAAAGGCGAGGCACGGCGGCGAACGTCTATAATTCAGGAGGCTGAGGCAACAGGATCTCAAGTTTGAGTCCAGCCTGGACAACTTAGCAAAACCCTATCTCAAACTATAAGATACACAGCTGAAAATGTAGTTCAGTCCTTAAGCCTTGGGTTCAACTCCAGTACCATCAAAACAAAACAGAACGAATTCACCAAATTGGAACACAGTTGAAGCTTTAAAGGCAGAACAGAAAAGGGAGGACAGAAAGACAGGATGTTACTGATGTTTCTTTCCTTCTTTTTCGGTCTTTTTGAGACAGGGTCTCACTATACAGTTCAGGCTGGCCTTGGGCTCACTTTGTAGCCCAAGCTGGTCTTGAACTCACAATGATCCTCCTGCCTCAGCCTCCCTGAGCTGACAGCCATGTGCACTTTGGCCTCTCATCACCTTCACGTGAGCACTGGTGAGTCTGGTGCAGCCTCCTCTCTCCAGAGTAGGTCCTGGGCCCCACGCCTATGCCCTGCTGTTCCTGGACGCTTCTGCCTCCCGAGTCTCCAGCCACGTGGCCCCTCTTGTGCCCACTGTCATGGGTGTCCCATTCTCGGCACATGTGTTGGTCTGGGGTTTTATTTTGCAAGGGGAACAATGTAATACAGGACACATGTTCTACAAGATTATTTACAGTAGTCACCCAAAGAATCATATACAAGAGGGTGCAGGAAATCTGTCCGCACACTAAGATCAAGAAATCTAGCCGAAGGCCTGGATCCCACGGCAATGTTCGGTATGAGTCCAGCTGAAGACCTAGAGCTCCAACTGGAGGCCCAGAGCCCATAACAACATCTCATGCAGGCCTGTTTCACGGATCTGTGCTGGGAAGGCCCAAAGGTCAGTGGTGGAATCTAGGAAGTCTGTGCCAGTGGGATGAAGGATCTGTGCTAGCAGGCTGAGGGATCTGCACTGGAGCCAGGAAGCGACGTGCCAAGTAAGAACCAGAGCGCCCCTGAAAAGTGCCACAGCCATCCTCGGCAACAGTGAGGTCCCGAGCTCCTCTGATAGTGAAGACAGCTGACTTCCCATCAGGAAAGCCCATGCAGCAAGCTTTTTCAGGAGACTAAGCTGTGTACATTCTTCCCCTCTGGAACTAGGAAGCAATGCTCAGAGTGAGGACCAGAGCGCCCCCAAAGTGAACTGAAGGTATTCTCAGTGCCAGCAAGGCCCAGAGCTCGTTGGAGGATGAAAACAGCCAAGTTCATCAAGAAAGCCAGCATGACAAGCTCCTCCAAAACAAGCAACAGCTTCTACCAGCTCTCCACAGCCTTACTCCTCCTCCAGTTCTGCCTCTTATGCTGCTGGCAACAGTCCCCAAGTGGGCCTCCCACACCCAGCACCATCCTTACTCAGCTCAACCGGTGGTTACAAGCTGACCACCACTGTCAGTCCACTACAGCAAGGTGTCCAGACAGAGAAAGCCAAGCTGGATGACACTCCAACCACACATGGCAACACCTCACCCCTGCGCTCTTCCATCCCAATGCAAGGTGGGATGACCCCAACAGCTCTGCGTGCCCCTGCATCTGGGCTGAACTGATGGGAAACTGGCACAGCTCGGTAGTGTGAATACAGAGGATCCAGGGAGACTTCAGTCTACCCAAAGGGGTGAAGTGTAGGACAAGCCTCAACAGCTGGTAAACACTCAGATGGAAAAGGGCAAATAGAATTTGAAGCCCAGCTAAGCGTGATGGTGCATACCTGTAATCCCAGCACTTGGGAAGCTGAGGCAGGAGGACTGCCACAAGGGCTACACGGTGAGTGTAGCCAGGTGAAGCCAGCCTCACCTACAGGGTGAGTTCAAGGCCTCAAGGCCAGCCTCTGCAATGGAGCAAGACCCCCATCTCAAAAAACAAAACAAAAAAAGGGGCGGGGGATTTAGCGGGGCAGAGGATTTTTAGCTCAGGCCAGCCTGAACTACACAACAAGACCCTATCTTAAAAACAAACAAAAAAAATCTTGAACACTGGGTAAGAACTTCTCAAGAGGAAATGGAAATCACTCCATTATCAGTTCCCACTGAGGCAGAAGTACTGCTGCCAGTGGGACCCAGGAGTGGGTACCCTTGCAGGGGCAGGGGCAGGAGCACGGGCAGGGGCAGGGGCAGGGAAGGTCCACAATGAGCACGGCTGATCTCCACGCAGAAGGCCGAGGCTGCTGTCCTCTCTTGCTCACTTTCACCCCTCCCGTCTGTTCTGCTACGTCAGGTACAAGGTGTCCCGCAGTGTTACCTGTTTTTCCTTGTTCTTGGCAATTACTTCCACGTGTAAATAAATCCAGCCTCTATCCAATTACGGAAATGTGTTAGGCCTTGCAGACACCCCAGGCATCCAAAGCGTTTTCCACCCCTGGACAATCTAGCACTTCCCAAGTGGAGCCCTGCACCCCGAGTCTGGACACCCAGAAGAGCTGTAGACTATACTTTTTAAAGTCTCCAGAAAAGAACCCTAAGAACACTCACACCTTCAGAGATGCCAGGCAGGCACAGAAACAACCAGAAACTGAAGCAGAAAGCTGAATCCAAGAATGACCCTACAGCAAATTATGCAAG